TCTTGTTTACTTTCACTCAATTCAGTGGGCCAGAGGCCTCAGTCAGAATTCTTTCCTAGGTTTAGTTTATAGGATGCCTTCATTTCTTTAGTTCCTCACCTCTAGTCTGCTCCCTCAAATTAATGTTCTCTACCTTGAGGCCATTTGCAACAGTGTGGGTGGAAAGACAACATGCTTTTTTTTTTTTTTTTTTTTCCCGCGACCGGCAACGGATCGCAACCCTCAGTGTCGCGCCCGTACCGGACCGGCAACGGGATCGCAACCCTTGGTGTTGCCCCCGCTCCTCGCTCAGCCAGTGAGCCTCCGGTCTGCACGTGGGATCCGAACCCTCGGCGGGAGTGCCACCGCGCTTCCCAAGCGGCGCACTGTAGCAGTGCGCCACCGGGCCGGCCCGAAAGACAACATCCTTAATCTGATTTTTGCCTCAGGGCTGGGTTTGTTTAACTGAGAGGTTTTATTGGGCCCTGTTTTTCAAAGATGATTTTTTATACTAATACAGTTTGGGGTCTAAAAGCCAATGGTTGTTCTAACCCTTTGAGTCCTGTTTCTTTTAATTTCTTCTTGAAAACCAACTAATTCTTGCCTGAGCTCCTCTTTCTTATACTGCCCTGGTGAATGCAGCATGTTAAGAGCAGTACCTTTTAACATTTTTCTTTTCTTCGGGAGGCCCTTGGGCTACTTTCCAAGTTTTAGCTAATATTTTGCCAAGGTGTAACATTTTGCCATGGGATGAATCCCAGGATTTCAAACATTCCATTTGTTTCCTTACATCCTAAGGCCTGACCTGGGCTAGGCTGATGCTCGTGGCATCCATTCCATTGTGTGACTGCAGTAGCACATAGAAGCAGCATGCAGTGGCTCAGCACAGTAGAAAGCATGATAGTTTTAGGTGAGCACGGTAGCGTTCTTTCAGGTGGTATGTCGGGGACCCAGGCTGCTGCTTTCCGGAGCTCTACCATTCCCTGAGTTCTCACTGTTATCTGAGCCCATCCAGCAGTAGAAGGATGACCACAAAGGGGTATCTGTGGGAGGTTCATGGGTGAATCTGGATGTGGCCTTGTCCATTCTCTTTACTTGCCACTGGCGAAAACTCAGTCAATGGCTTTATCTGGTTGCAAGGGAGCATGAGAAATGTAGTCTAGCTGTGTGCCCAGGAAGAAGAGGAAAATAGGTGTTGGAGGATAGTGCCAGTGCCACAATTGTCAATATCCAGGAAAATAGCACTTGTGTTTGTTTTTGTTTAACTTTTGGACAAAGACTTATAGACAAGTGCAAAAAAAAATACCTCTTTTGCAACCCAGAACTCTTTGTTCAGTATAAGTTTTGATACATAGAAGAAGGAGTATTATGATAACATAAGACAGTCTAAAGTGATGGAGGTATTGATAACCATAAGGTTGGTTCCAGGACTGTAGAACTGATAATTAAAAAGCATAGGATATTAGGGAAATCTCAGCTATATTTGTTAGTATTCCGATATCATGATGACATGATGCGTGAAGATGGCTTGTTCTTTTTAAAAGGCTTTTATCCTCAGAACTTGATGACTGAAATTGGAAGGAATGAATTTGATTTAAACTCTTCATATTAGAGAGTGTGTCAGAAATTGAGAACAAGGCAGGTCAATCTATTCTAAAAATGGCCCTAAAGTAAATTGCTTGAAGAAATAAGATCCCAAAGATTCTTGATGGGGAATTTTTGAAGTTGTCATCAGTATGTCCATATTAAAGTGGAGATAAAAGCCCAAATAAAAGAATTAATGGACTATAAGAACGACTATGGATTAAGCATCAGTTCTTTTAAAAAGGACTATCTTGAAGATAAATCCTGACGGAAGCTTTAGACGTGACCTTGATGGGCAGTGGAAGGAGTCACAACATGTGAAATTCCTTGAGTAAGAATTTATTGACTTTAAATAATTTTGCCTAATGGCACAAATAATAAAAAATACCCTTTACACACTGTTGAAAAAAAAAATCCAGGAAAATAAAACAATTAGTAGATTGGTTCTTTATGTTATGAAGGTAAGTGATCATGTAACACCAATGTCAAGGGTTCGGATCCCCATACTGGCTAGCTACAAAAAAAAAGGTGAGTGATCAGATTTTTTTTAATCCAATTTTTTGGCATTATGATGAACCCATTTTTAAAATTTCTCTCACAAAAAATGAATAATAGTACATATTTATATAAATGTGTTCTGTTTTTTGCTCTTCCAGTCAACAAAACGGAATATTCCGATGCTCTTTGTCCGTGGAGATGGTGTTGTGCTAGTTGCTCCTCCGTTGAGAGTTGGCTGAAACAATCTATCCTGTATGGGAAAAAGGAGACTTTGTACAGTTGCCTCTTTAAATGTACAAAACATTCAAAAGACAAACCTGCATACGTTTTGATATTGAGAAATAACCCAAGGATTCTCCCATTCCTGAAATGGGTCGATTTGCAGATAACTTAGAACTTCTTGAACTAAATGGCATTTTTGTTTTTCTCCAACCCTTGCAATGAGTGTGAGCACCAAGATGCAAAACTCTTTTTCAGGAGTTGGTTTGCTTCATTGTTCTTACAGGCAATTTCTGATTTTTGTTTTTTTCTTAAATTAAATTTGATGTTTCCTTTTCGATTTTTTTAATGGTCTCAACTTGCGAATTCTTTAAGCACGTCTTACATTCACTCACTACACATTTACAGTGCATCTACTACGTTTGAGGAACCAGGTTGAATGCTGGGAACTAGAATTTTGTCACCCTGCCTCCTGCCCTCGAGTCTTCTGGGGAGCCAGTTGTTTCAACCAACAATTGCAGGGCAGTGATGTCAGTGCTGATAGAAGAATTCACATACGGGAGGATGCCAGAGGAACCAAGAGAAGAGCACCCAAATCAGAACAGGGCAGGGGTGGTGATGTGTCATTGTAAACATTAACATTGCAATAGAAGACAAAGCCCGATTTCTGTTGCTTCCATGTGGCCTGATTTATTTCTAATGTCAAGTTTTAGTGGTCATATACCCGTGTGGTTCAGCTTGGTCATATCTTCGAGGGCCACATTTAGCTTATGACTCGAAGAAACCATTTTTTCCCTCTTAGATCATAGACTGTTAATAATGAGGAGTCAAAAACAACTTGTCTCAGCGGCACAACAAAGCAGGAAGTGGCTAAAAGCAAAGCTATTTTTATTTCTAGTTTCAGTCAGCCAACACTTAATGCTGTAGAAGTATAGAGGAAAGATGTGCATGTTACAGTCTTTAAATCTTTGTCAAGGCAGGGCTTAGAACCTCACATCCTGTACTGAGTAGGTTGTTCCATTTTGAAATGTAGAAAATATGATTTGTAGATGGATTTTCTGTAAATATGCTGAATGTGTGTTTGCTGATCTATTAGCAAGTACAACATGCTAACATGCACAACATTTTAAGCCATTGCAAGAAAGATGCTTTCAGTAGACATTCTGTTAAAAAGGTTTTGTTTTCATTATTTATTGTGCTTCTCCCTGAGGGTCAATGGAGAGGAGAAGAGCAAGTGTGGGTGAGCTGATGGAGGCAGGAGAGACACCCTCCCTTCGCTTCTGCCACCACCACATTTTGTCCTTAGGCTTTATGGTCCCAGAAGGTAACCTGTTTGCAATAGCCTGTTCAGTGTTGAAAAAATGGGACTTGCAATTCCAGCAGTAGCAAGTGGCCGATCCTTGGGATCACTCTTTCTGCGTAGAACTCTTGCCTAAGTGATAGTTATGAGGCTACACAATAACAGTTGCCATCATTTGTTGAACAAAGTGCATCAGGCAAAGGCATTTTGTGTGCATACTCATATTTAACCTTTTCAACAACTCTCTCCAGAACTACAAGACACCGAAGTTCAAAGAGCTCAGGTGATCGCTTGCCTATGGTTCTGCAGCTCGTATGCACATGGCAGCAGTGTGTACAGCTGCCTGACTCCTACTAGTGTAAGTATGTGGTGAGGTGTGCTGCAGAGGCACTGGCTCTGGGTAGTAACTTGGCTCCCAGTGTCCACCACAGCCATGGCAGCACTGGCCATTTGGCCCTCTTGCTCTGCCACATTTGCATCTTTCTTCAGCATTGCATTTATTTTTAGTGGTTTCTAATAACCACACTTAATTCCTGGATACTTTCTATTCCATTCTTGGTCATCTGTCTCCTCTTCCTCCTGGAACTGATAGATTGCACTAGGACTTCTGGCTGTAAGGACTTGTTTATACAATTTTGTTTCTAAAACCCATGAACCTTAAAATCTGACACAGTTACCCTCACACACAAAACTCAATTGCAACTTATAAACATCCATTTACCTTCTAGCTGTTGAGATACAGGAAGAGGGGTGATAAAAGGTTAACTGCAGAGTAACCATCTGCGTGTTACCAGATGGAGAGGAGGCAGTATGTTTTATGAGCCCGTTTGGAGCTGTGACTCAGTAAACAACAGGAACACCTGAAGCAGGGCCCTGCCACAGTCCTCCACATTGAGGTTTCCTCTGCAGGACTTCAGGGGTGCTGTTCCCTGAGGGTTTATGCTGTCAGAGGGCCCCTGGGAGCCATGCGTCGGACTCCCAAAGCTACACAACACCCTGAGTTCCAGCCGGCTAGATGGCCCATAGTCACTGGAGCCGCTGACTGGTGGTTTCTGCAATGTGGTGTCACACAGCTCAAGGGGAGCCTTCTGGCTGTTTTCTTTTGGAAGCCACACCTGGATCTGTCTCGGTTGTTTCATGAAAGAGGTTGTTATGAATTGTTATTGCCTCCTGCTAGGAAAGATGGACAGACAAAATGTAGGACCGCAGGTTTGTACTTAAGATTAAATGTGCCCAAATTGAAATAACCAAGTAATGTGAGTATCCTAGGTTAAACTAAAATCATTACCTACAAGTGGACAAATTTCAAATAGTGATTTTTGAAGATCTCAAACTAGAGGTATCGCTGTGCACACTAGGAGGCACAAACCTTTTTTTCACACACTTGCTTATTTACTCTTAACATTTCCTTAGCTGTTGCCCACATTGCTTTTAGCCTGCTCCCCAAAGGGGAGGAATGCTCCATTGTGTGAACAGTTGTCACCTGGGTGTGATGCTCACCTGGGCTGAACATGGAAAATAACTGAGAATTCCATGAGTCATCAGGAATTAGCTGGACCAAACAGCACAATTGATGTTTCTCTGTGTCACTCAGCTCTGCTGAACTATGTGGGTTTCATTTGTGGGCAAGCTCCTTCCTGTAACAGATCGAGAATTCCAACCTACCTGCCTGCCAACTGCAGTGGTCTCTCTCCTGAACTGGTTCATGTACCCAGCTGTGGCTAGTCATTACAGCCATGAGAACATCGGGCTCCCATTGGCCAGGCCTGACTCACATGCCCATTCCTGGAACTAAGCGAGATCATCTCCATGTGAGCCATATGGTCTATGAGTGGAGAGAGGTAGTTCTCTAAAGGAAACCAGAGGGAAAGGGGAATGGGGGCTGCAGACAAGGAATGCCTGTTACATAGGTGTAGGGAAAGTGAAGATAAATGGTCAGGGTCGGGGGTTTGGAGTCTTGACAAGCATTTAATGTAAATATTCACGTGTGCCCAGGTGTTCCTTGGTTATTGTCTAATGTAATTGTGCATGTGCACCCAGGTGTTCCTGAGTTGTCTGACTCACACCCAGGTGTCCTGGGTTATCAGACTTAAAGGACAAGTGGCTCTGGTCCACGGGCCCCCCCTCCCAACTCCCACCCCCAGGGAGGCCATGGGGAGGCCGCTACTGCTCCTGGAGGGTGTTGCTTCAAGCCGTTGGTGCTAGAGCCCCCAGCATGCTCCAGGAGGCCACCTCTGCTGCTGCTGGAGGCTGCTGGAAGCTGCTGCAAGCTGCTGCTGCTGCTGAGGAAGCTGAGGACTGAACTCGTGTTGTCTGTCAACAGCTCCTGGGATCTTTCCCAATTACCTAGCTTGTGGACCTGTATGTGAGAGATCTGGTGACCCAGCTGGACATGTGAGGGGTCTGGTGACCCAGTCTGTATATGAGGGGTCTATGACCCAGTCTGTACAAAGGGTTTGAAGGGTCTGTGGGCCCTAACCCGACAATACAGTAGGGATAACTTTTAGTCTAATTTATAGAAAACTAAATCCCTTTGGCAATTTATTGTTAGTAAAAAATGTCTTGGAACATACCTCAGGTTTGGACAACTGGTTTTAACCCATTGCTCTGAAATCTAGCAGGAGGCTCTGGAGCAGCCTGAGGGGAATCAGTGTGGGTGGGGCTTAGACTTGTTAGATAACTGGGCCTGGTGGTAGCTGGAGTCCTCTAGGAGGGTCTAGATGGGGGATCTGCAACACGGGGGTGGTATTTGGCCGGGGTTGGTATTGGAGTCCTCGGAGCTACTGGGGAGGGCAGGATACTTGAATAGGGTGAACACTGAGCCCCACCAGACAAGTCGCTGCTTACGAGCAAGGATGTATTCACGACCCCTGGCATAGGGCCTTGCTAAGTTTTTCCTCAATAAGTTCTGAATGGGCAAATAATTAAGTGACAAGAAGACCAGTGGCAATAGTACTTCATGATCAGCATTGTGGATGGAAGGGTCAGATGGTACTTTCAAAGAAGGTGAACTTTGCACACTTTTCTAGACACCTGTGTCCTTCCCACAATTGCACAATGTTTCCCACTTTTTTACCCTTCTAGCCATCTTGCCCGTTACCATTTGCCTGAGAATATCAGTATATGCCAACTGGATTCCTAACTAGTTACCAATTTACACGGAAAACTAACACCATGAAATCCAGAAGCCATGCCAAATGTTTTAAATTCCCTTAAGATTCATTGCTTGGTTTGAATAAACCAGAGCATGTAGATTCTTATTTTCTTGGTTGCTTCTAGCTGCTTCCTAGGCATGGAAGCAGCACGCCCCACTGCAGTTTCTGACATTGATTATTCCGGAGGAGTTATTTTCTTGGTGCTCATCCCCCTATTGTGCTGTGGGGATCTGAGCTCTGGGTGTTGACAGGAGCCCCAAAGTTGCCCTTAGTGGGTTGGAAAACTGACCATAGAGGATTTAGCACTGTGGTGAAATCAGAGAAACCTGGCTTTACATCCCAGCTGTGCCAAGTGCCAGCTGGGCAAATGCCTTATGCCCTAAGGTCAGCTGTTAGGACTGGAAAGCATCTATATGAACAGCCTAGGACAGTGCAGGAGTGTCACTGACATGTCACCGACACTGGGGTCAGAAAGCACAAAGGTGGCAGCACTGGAAGGCCAGTGTGGCTTGCTGAGGTCACTCCCCCATCTCACTCCAACTACCTCCACTCCTTTTCTCCCCCAGATAGTTTTCAGGAGACTCATGAATCCTAAATAATTGGATTTGTTCAATTTAAAAAGAATGATTGCATGTGCACTATGTTCCAGGATCTGTCAGCAGAGGACTGAACAAGACCAATTGTGTGGTACCGAGTGCTGTGAAGGAGGGTGAGAACATGGGGGAGAGGACACAGAACCAGAAGCCTTGGGAGGGAGGTCTGTCTCAGGAGGTAACATCTGAACAGCAGGAGGGTGCAGGCCCCGTGGGGATTTGCCCAAACAGTCGTCCTGGTACCTGGAACCCGTGCAGAGGCTCTGAGGCAAGAACAGTTCTGCCTGGTCAAGGGGCAGCAAGAAGGCCAATAGGTTGGAGAAGAACAAGCCAAGGGAGGGTGTTGGGAGATGAGGAGAGATGGCCGGACCGCTGAGACCAAGGAAGAGGTCCAGGTGTCATTCCGCACCCTTGCTTTACAGATGGGGATGAAAAGCCCAAGAGAGAGAGAGAGAGACTTGCTGGAGTCCAGGCTGATCTAGTTGTAAATTAGGGCCACTGTGTAGCTCAACTCCAGGGGTTGCTGCTCACACCCTCGTCCCTGGAGTTGTGTGAAGTGTAGTGTGTGCGGCTGTACAGTCCCCTTCCTTCTGGTCACATGCCAGCATGTCCCCAT